TTTGTCTTATTAATTAGACATGGAATGACCTTTCTTTGATTTCCCCAGCAATCATAATGAAATGTGTCCAGCTTAGCTGCAGGGGGCTGGTATAAATAACAAGAAGAAGAAAACCGCTCACTAGGCAAGGAGGCTTACTGGGGGGGAAAATGTGTAAGATCAGAAGCACTGTTGTATAATAATTATAAATAGTTATTCAGGTATGTTTACTGAAATTCAATGACCTGTTTATCCTTACTGTGGTGAAAATACTTAGAGTATGCAGTGTAATGTAATGATTAAAGTAGTTCTACCCTTAAGGATTATGACGAAATAAGTTTAATTTTTTGTATATTAGTTGTTTCTGAGGTCTACTTTACTAGATGTGGGCTTAGTTGTGTGCTTAAAGATAAGATAAGATCACTTTACTGGCCATATGCAATATCTTGTATTGGGAATCTGTCTTTTCGCATACTCCAACTTGCTCTCCGTGAGACACGCAGTCAGGGAGAGAAGGTTGGGGTCAGAGTGCAGGGTCAACCATTTTATATGGCGCCCCTGGAGCACTTGGGGTCTGTTAAGGGCCTTGCTCAAGGGCCCAACAGAGTAGGATTCCACTGCCGGCCGCGGGATATGAACTGGCAACTTTGCAGCCACAGGCACAGTTCCTTAGCCACAGAACCAACGCACGGCCCTTTAAAGTTTGTTTGGCCAGTCTAGGCATTCTGGTAATCCTTGTATGGAGATCGTCATTCGTGTCTTAGTGATACAGTCTTACTGATGGAAAATTGAGCTCTGAAATGTAGTCTAGGGACTGAATTTTTGGAGCTAAACTGGTTTTCTGCCAAGCTGAAATTGTGGTTAACTGACCTACTTCCAGTAAAATAATTCGGTTAGTTTGTAAAAAAAAATACACACAAATCCCATTTGAGTTCTTTGCTGTGTTGGATACAAGGCTGTGTTGGCTGACTTTTTTTTTTCAAGTCAGTCTTGTTGCAAATGTTATTTTTTGATCCTTGCCAGATAATTCCAGGAAACTGTTGGTGTTCCCATATTCTGAAATCTTATCCACAGAGATATTAGACGACCTTCTTAAAGAGCCACTGCCATACTGGTAGCTTCTTGTGTACTTGCTGTCAGTCTGGCAAGAATGAAATGAGCTTGACTTCTGAGTATAAAGATGTGCTTCAAAAAGGTCATACTTTAAAAATCTAAAAATCAGTTTAACGTGTGCTTTTGTAAATGTGTGTATATATCGGAAGATAATTTGAAAATCATTTAATTATTTATTGCAGTATTCTATAAGATGCATACAATAAATAAATTTCAGTTTATAAATTTACGTTAAGCCATGCCCAGTTCACATGGTAGACCACAGGGGATCGATATATAACCATAAGCAGATCTGTCATTTCAGCTTGCCAGTGTTCAAATGATAAACCTTTTTTTAAATGACTACCTCTTTGAGCAAATTTACTTTGTTACAACCATTTCCCATGCATTCATTATTTTTACCATGAACTTATGATGTACTACTATAAACAAGTCCAGACTTAGTGTATATCCTCATGTCTGTTTGAAATATGATAAATGCACCTTCCATTATTTCGCTAAAACCTGATTAATTTTAGGGTCAAAGCATCCGAACTGATAGTGAAGTGGGCGATTGCTGTGCACCCACTTTTATTTTCTTGATTTGTTTCTAGACATTCCTGGAGATTTTTTACTTCAGAAGTATATTAATCGGTAATCAAAGGAAATAACATAACTCTGGGTTGTTTGAAAAAAGACATAAACACTGGTAGGAAGATTGTAAAAGAAAATAATCTCGGATAAAGCCCAGCTGGCAGGAGATGGCCACAGTTCAAAACCCAGATAGAAATACTATATAGTATATGGTGGGATTCAGTGTAATACTACAAAATATGTGCTCCTTAAAAAATGCAGGGGGAGCAGTTGTTTTTAATTTATTACAGATTAGGTTTATTTTATGTTGAAGCTGATGGGGCATGTTTCCTGGGTATTTTCTTTTCAGGAAAAGCCTCCATTTTGTCTTTAAATGTCTTTTAAAGCTAAAGGTGGAGTGCAACTTTTATTAGGGGAGAAATTAATCCCAAAAGGGAATTTCAGTTGAAATTCTAACATTTAAAGTTGCACTCGGGAGAAAATTTTGTTTTAAGAAGTATGTTAAATGGCCACAACAATGTAAATCAATGATCTAAACTGAAAAAAGAGGACATCGCAATACCTGCAGAAATTACATGTTAATAGTTTATTTTGCTTTAGTCTTGGTGTGGGGTAGCCTGGAATATTACACAAATCAAAAAAACTGGTAGTGTGCTGTAACTCTTCTGACCCTGTAGCTCAATAAATGGTTAAATGTTGGAAATGAGCCAATCTGCTGTAAAAGAGATGGATTTTATTTGTACTGCTTCATTAATATTTAACACTGATCTGATTGCAGACATTTCCTGCCATTAAATCATAATCTGAAATGGGAAAATGTCTCAAATCCTAGAGCAGCTGTTCTTCCTGCATCAGTGCCTTTATTTACTGTAATGAGATCAGTTATTGTAATACTGGTGTCCAAAGTCAGACAGTTCCCTGCCCGTTACCTAAAGATTGGTGATGGATGCGGATGGAGATGGTTGTCTTTAAGGTGTAGTCTTAATGATGTGTGGTGAGGAGGCACAGAATGGCTGCTTGTTTTTTACTCCAAAGGTGTCTGCTTTGGGGAATGGACAAATAATTCTGCAGACGTATGTGGAATCAAATATGCCTTTAAAAGTACTTGGCATTGTTAACATTGACTATGTGGTCCTTGAATCTTGCTTTCACTTAAAGCAGCTGTATGGTCTTTGCTTACACAGATGGTTCATCAAGAAGATTCTCTTGGTGTAGGCTAACAGTAAGCTGTATTTTCAGATTTATATAAGGCATGCAAAAAAATGCATAAAAGCATCACTGTATTTTATTCAGTGCTTTCACTATAGTCCTTAGATGTTAGTTATGTCTGTACGATTCTTGTGTGTGCACTATGCCTAAGTTTCCTAATATTTTTGGAGTGATATGACACTTCTGCTGGTGCACAGTACAGTAAATCTATTAAAAGACAAGAGCAGGTGGTGGTCTATAAACATTTATAGAAGGATAGCAATTACTTTATTTAGGCTTGGAAGACAGACGTCAAGTTTATGGTGAAGATTTACGAGTCTGAATCCCTTTTGTGTTCCTGGTGTTTTCCATAATCAGTCAGGTCAGTCTCCTCGCTTACATTTAATACCGATTTACTCAACTCTGACAAACTGTGAGAAGAAAGCGATTTCAAAATTATGTGGTGATCTCACAGTTTTAGTTGACGGACACCAAAAGCAATGCGCTGGTGGTACTGTCATGGAAAGCACCATTCTTGAAGTGCAGAAAGGAGCAAGGATATTATTGCCATGGTAACCGCTTTGGATCTGATTGTTGCTGTAGTACTCTGTGCGAAAGCTTTTTTCTCCGATGCTGTTTGGTTCGTGCTTATCGGGGAAACGTCAGTGTTTCTCTTAAAAAATCCAAGTCTAAGCATTTAGGGATAGAGGTATCTTCTGACAAATAGTGCATTAACTCATTTATGACCAACTGTACCATGGATATCATTTCGTAATCAGAGCCTTCACAGAGACATTGGGTGCTCTTTCCCATTTGCATCTGAATCGTGTTGCATAAGCTGGCAACTGCTGAGAGTGCAATACATAAGTGCCCATTTAAAGGCCTTGAAGTGCCCATGTTGGTAATGTGATACGGGTTGCTGATTGTCTATGTGGTGAAGTGTTTTGCTCCAGAGGATTTAGTAGTTAGCGTTCTGGATTAGCAGATTAATAACCAAGTACTAGAGCAGGAGTTCTAACCTGTAGACTGTAAATGTACAGTACTTTGTGCATATTGATGTATTTCAAACAGTAATTTAGTAGTCATTTCCATCTAAGCAGAACATTTCTAAAAAGCCCCTAAGATTTCATGAGCACTGTTAACTTGTCCTGTTTATTTATGGTTATTGAATTGAGATCATTTTCTGTATGATAGTACTCAGAATATACCTAAGTATACAGTTTATGGTTGCTTCCTCCTTTGTCTCCTTCTTATCACTTTGATAGGAAAAATGCAGAACTGTAATCAGTGCTGTTTTGTCCTGTTTAGCAACTGTGTGCTTTGTTGAGTGTAATTTATTGCTTCATGTGCGCAAGGTTCTACTGATCATTATTCCTAGGGGTCATTTGTGTGTCATCCTCGGAGCCGCCGTTTTGACTCCTTTCTTAATCATGAACTTGTGGATGCTGCGTCAGATTCCATTGTTTAGTTGGTTTATTACAGTATATCTTTAAAAATGATATTTATAACAATTATTTTTGTTTGCAACTATTAGGTGTTTGTGCAACAGAAAATAGGCCTGGCAACCCTCTTGGAGGAATGATTATAATTTAATCTCAATACAGGGGGATGTATAATTTCATCGTTTTCAGAACCTGGCATCTGCCGTTCAGACAGTAAGCCATTAAACAATGAAGTGATGGATCATGCTTATCTCTTTCTGCTATCCATTAGTTCCTCACATACCAGCAAGTTAAAACGCAAAGTCTGCCAGCAGCTTGAGCTGGGCAGAAACCAGCATGTCAAATTTCAGGAGGTGTATGTTGTTCAGTTTCATCAGCAGTACATGATTAAGCCAGTTTGCTTTGCTTGGGGAAAGTTGCTTTTAAAAAACAATCCATTGCAGTTACTTGTATAAAGGATTACTTTTTACAATTTCAAGAATTGGGGTGAGAATAATTCTAAAAAAGTATACAATACTTGCATCTTAAACTCAATTTTCATTCACTTAATTAAAAAAAGTAATCGCTTACAAAAGTGATTTTGGAACTGTAGCGGATTGCTTTTTAAAAGTAACTTTCCCTGACATTGGAGAGTGACCATGCTTTCAGAATTCAAGGTTAATTCACCGGACCACTCACTAATCACTGTTTTTATTTACTTTTTAGGGAGCATTTGGGGCTCTTCAGAAAATCTGTGAGGATTCAGCTGAAATTTTGGATAGTGATATTCTGGACCGACCTCTCAACATCATGATTCCAAAATTCCTGCAATTTTTTAAACATAGCAGTCCTAAAATAAGGTATGAAGTGGTGTTTTTCAGGCTGTGGCCTGTCTGGGTAATCACTGAAGCACACAATACAGAGCTGTGACAGTACATGTTACTGTGAAGTACTGAGAGGTATACAGAGGTGTAATGACGCCTACATCTAACATAAATGTTGCAAGAAGCAATAAAGACAAAATTTTCCACCTTAATGCCCATTGCTTAGGGTTGTCTAGTGCACTTATTTGTAAGGCACATTTTTCAATGTAAGATTGTACAATGAAAAGCAATCTTCATTCTATTGTGTAATATTTATTAAAGATTAATGCATTTTTCATTTACTGGCACATTGAAAATTATCCAGTTAAGTAATTAGATGGTGATTATTGAAATCATCCAATGTCATGAGCGCATAATCAGTTTTTGCTCTTCAAAGGTCTTGTTTGTATCATCAAAGAGTTCCTCAGTTCTTTCCTATTTGGAGGATTGTGATATTTCGTAGTGATCGAGCAAATGTTTTACACTGACCCTTCTGTTCTGCTGATGAAAGGCATGTCTTTGAAATATGTAAGTAAACCTTAACAAGGATGTTCAGGTGTGGATTGAGGTTTGTGATACTGAGGTTAGAGCAGCTGTCATCCTGCATCTTGATGCTGCATTTTCCTTTATCCCACAGGCAGTAGATCTTGTTTTACAACAGCCATCGAATTATGTTGTTAAAACACATACTGTTTCATTATTCATTATTCACTGCTTCATTTTCAGCCTTTCTGCTTAATTCTTCATTTTTTTTGTTGGTGCCCAGTGCTTATGGAATGTACGACATTTATCAAAACACCAGTAAGGGCAGTGGCGCATGAAAACAACAATAAAATTAAATCTTTGTTTTTGTTTAGGTCCCATGCAGTAGCATGCGTGAACCAATTTATCATCAGCAGAACTCAAGCCCTTATGCTACATATTGATTCTTTCATTGAGGTGAGTTGCTTTCCTTTTGTTAGATATTTTAAACATTTAGAAGATGGTTAGTTTGTATATTTACAGGAGGTTTGTCGTCATTCCACAGGTCAAAGTTATTAACAGCGATGTCATTTTCAGTGAGAATAACTAGTGGACAATAACAGCATTGTACAATACACTCTGTTGTATCATTAATATTATAAGAACTGCTTTTGTTTTCTTTTACATTGGTTTGATTTTTTTTAACTGTCTGGTAATATCAAAAACTAACAAAATGATGCAACTGTAAAACTGTAGAAAAACTTTAGAAAAGGTTCTTTATTTGGTGTTTGAATGACAAGCCAGTTGGGAGGGTACATATGACCTTGGACTGTGTTAAAAATTAGGGTAATTCTTGGTGTGGTAAAAAATCAATTATTGTTGTAATGATAGGATGTCATGTCAGTATAATGCTCTATTATACTAAAAGAGAAAATTGTTTGTGTAATTTCCTCTCCTGGCTGAGTTTTGACTTCTGATATGCACAGTGAGACATAAGCTAGTGGTCACTACCCTTTCCTTCCTGTATTAGGCTTAATATCCCTGGCAATTGAAAGATTATAGTGCAGCTGCAACTACCTCACAGTTATTAATCTGTGCTTTTGTATGATTTGCCATACAAAAAATAACATTTCAAGCATTGAAGAGAAATAAAGGTAGTAGTGGAATCCAGGTGAGATTTGTACTTGTAAAAGAAGGTACTCTGATATTGGACATCCAAAAAAAAGAAATCCAAAGGCATCATGTGGAAGATTCTTGACTGGGCTCTTCCAAAGAGGGAACAGATGTTCTGCCAGAATCTCAGAATACATCAGCGCCTTGATCACATACCTCAGAATATCAAACCAAAGGCTTACAGTAGAAATTGCCAAATCTGCCGCAGAACAGAAAATCTTGGAGAGCATCAGACATGGTTACAAAAACCGATCTGGAAAGCCAGCTTTCAGATGCCATTATTCCTGCTTATTGTTCTCTCCTCAGAATCTGTTTGCGCTGGCGGACGACGAAGAGCCAGAGGTGAGGAAGAACGTGTGCCGTGCTCTCGTCATGCTGCTCGAGGTCCGAATGGATCGTCTGCTTCCCCACATGTATAACATCATCGTGGTAAGGCCGTGGTCTTCCCTTTGTTTTTATCCGCAGGCTGGGGAATAAAGCTTTGTGTTTCGTGATGGGGAAGATGATGGGGTTTATTGTGCTGGACGATGGCTTTGGGACAGTGTCCGTCGAAGCGCGAAGATTGTGTGGTAAAACTCCAGACGCTCTAGTCCTGCTGCAGTCCCCTGTGTGTGGGGCACTGCAAACCTTGCCTGCCATGACTCACCCCAGGAGCCGGCTGCTCTTACTGCTTGAGGAGCTGTGCCCCCAGTCTGACTCAATAAGAGCACTATTAATGTTGCAGCTGTCATAAATTCTGCTGTACATTACGGGAAACATGCATCTCGAATATAAAGCACAGTGATGTACTATGCATGAAAACCATTGAGGTTTAAAGTGTTTGAAAATAAATTGTATTCTGGAATAGTTTTACTTGTAAGATATTGACTTAAAGTAATAAAATAGTACATAATATTTGAGTTTCTATATTGATACTAGTAGCAGTGTTATTTTCACAAAAACAACTTTAAATTTGTCTTTTTGAAGTTCTTTATTCTAAAACTATAACCTAAGTCAACTTTACAGACAACAACTTTCGATATTTGTGGAAATACAGCAATAGCTTTTTGCAAGATGCATTATGTATGTGGTGAATTATATGTGTATGTATATAACAGCCAATATAAACATTATCTATTCCATTTAAACTTCATATTAATTAGAGGTTTCGATTTATATGATAGAAAGTACTATAGCATGTGTCCAAGGCAACTTTCAAAACTGTTGTGCAAAACTTGAGACCTGTTGTCAGAAAGATGGTATTTGGAAAAGTCTGTTAATGTAAAGGGGAAATATTTGTAAAATATGTTCATTTATAGTGACATCCTATCCAGAGTTCAGGGCTTTTAGGACATTTTCTGGGTTTCTGCGTTCATCACTAGGAGAATAAGCTTTCTGATAATGGGTGGATATGCATCTATCGTCATAACCATTTAGATGAAGAAATCATGCATTGCCGTCTTCTGATTTATTAAATTAGTTTAGAATTTGCTTTCTCATTAAACTGGATTCTATCTGCACTGTAGAGAAAATTAATGTTCCAGATACTTTACCCCCCCTGGTGGAGGATCTGTAGAGTACATATTCATCCTCAGTGTATTAAGTAAAGCAGTTTTTATGCTACAGTATGGCAGATTGAAAGTACAGCATAGAACTTGCATAGGGGAAACAAGTTTCAGAGATAATGTTTATCATAAAGTTCTGAAAGTTTTATGAAGTGATGAAGCTCACCACAATTGTGTAATGTTACATCACTTTAAGGGTTCATTTTAATTTTTAATATTTTGCAGCATTGTAACCAGAGCATAGAGCGTGATGAACCCACATCAATACAATGATGCAAGATACTGTCTGCCAGAGAGCAGTAAATTAATGCACTTTGAAATCTGGAACTCTTAGGAAATGTAGATAATGGAATTTAAATTAAATAACTTCCCCTTAAAAGCTTGTTGGTAGCTTGGTGCAAATTCATGACGTGAATGAGCTGGAACATATGGGGAGGATGTTAGGGAGAATTGCTATTTTTAGAATCCCCTTGTAGAAAATGAATTATGGACATAGGATATAGTCTCTGTTGAACAAATGCTGTGTACAGAAATTATTAATTGCTTTGCTTAGTCATTCATAAGGGAAAAACAAGTTGTTGTTAAGGTGACTTTCTAGGTTGCAGACATCCTAGGTTCTGATCTGGACTTACCCAGAATAGTGAATTAATAAATGTTTGCACCCTTTTACCACTTTTACAAGATGCATCACAATTTTAAAATAATTATAACCTGACAAGAAGTGAATATTGTGACTGACCATTTTTAAATGTTCCATCTGTGACCAGAGTGATAAGACAGGGCAGATTCTGTGTGATGGACTGTTATAGGGTGTTGTAATTCCAACAGTGCCAAACAAGACCGATCTGCGTACTTCTTCATGCAGTCTAACTTTTGTGCCATCTTTTCTGGAAATGGTGAAAGGCATGCTGTATTGCATCTGGGCTCAAGCACTATTTCAGTGATTTACTTGATGTTCCGGTGTTGAATGTAGTTTCTGAATACCTCCTAAAATGTTGAATTACCTGAATAAGGGTGTTTTTAGGTAGGGCTCCAGTGATATTGTGCAGTATTGATTAAACTCGCTAACTTTTTGTTTGTATGTTATTTAGTACATGTTACAAAGAACACAGGACCAAGATGAAAATGTGGCGTTGGAGGCCTGTGAGTTCTGGTTAACCCTTGCTGAGCAGCCAGTCTGTAAAGATGTGCTCTGTGGACACCTCTCGAAGTAAGCAAAACATAAGTCCTGTGTTTTTTTTTAATGCTCTTCCTTGGTGCTTTTTTATTTAGTATTGTTTACCATTTTAATTCAAGACTCTACGTTTCTCTTTTTTTTCCTCTGTATCCTAGAGAAAGCATTTTAATGGAGGAAATGGTGTTTTCAATCTCTTTTTTCCCCTGCAGGGTTTAATATAATATTGGTTTTTTAAGTAAGAAGTGATAAGATCTTGTTTGTTCAGATTGCATTATATTGAATTCTGTCTAGTAATTGCATATTATGTTTGTATAAGTTTAGCTACATAATTGTTGTAATCTTTGCAACAGCAAATAAGTGATTAATTTTATTGGTTTGTATTTATAAAAATTTTGGAATACATTGACATATGTCACCAGTGATTTGTTTTTACTTGTTTTCAGATTAATACCTGTTCTGGTTAATGGGATGAGATACTCTGAAATAGATATTATTCTGCTGAAGGTGAGTGGAATCTTTTGTTGTTGAACCATCTTAAAATATTTGTATTCTCGCTGGCATAATATTCATAAAGAGTATTGATGCGTCTTAAACATCTGAAGCAGGCCAATTTGAAATTGTTGTCTGTACAGTGGAACCATCACCTTAGAGGAGAAAAGCATTTACTAATAGGAGTACTTAACTGCATTGCTGATGGTAAACTGGGCAATCGTCAGTAGAGGCTCTTATTTTACAGAACAACATTGAAGGTTAAATGAGATAAAGCTGAAATGAGGTTAAAAAAATTATCAGGGCTTTATTTTTAATCTCTAAGCTGCAAACTGCAAACAGTCAGTGGGCACCTTTTAGGTCAGAGGTGACAGGATGACAGCTATTGGTTATAAGTCTGATTTTCGTTCATACCATCTGAGAGTTTAACTAATTTACACTATCAGATATCACAGTGTGCAAATGAAAAAGGTAAGTGAGTTACTGAGCATTGTTTCAGACTTGAAAATCTAATATGTATGTTTAACTGCGTTAAGTTTTAACAAACTCTTTAGGCACTTTTAATATGAATTAAAGTATTTTGTATGACTTATTGCTGAGGCCATCTGCCATGTGCATATTTAAAATATTATCCCAGTTGCTCTAAGAGGTTTTCTTACGGTTGAAGATACAAGCGGCATGGGTAATGGTTAATTTAGTATTCATGGAATTTGTCAGTGAATTTCCATTTTCTGTATTAACATGTTTGACATCTGAATTAAACACTAACTTCTGTGTCCTACAACATTCACGCATGTCAAACCTGGAGTAGACAGCTGAGAGGCATTTGCTGTGGGGTTTAAGATGAGGACATATTCAGATGCCCTTCCTTACTAAGTATTGTACTAACAAAAAAAAAAAGGGCCCATTAACAAGAATTTTCTTCCTGTTCCTCTCAAGAAGCAGACGCAGCAGAAAATTGTTTAATTACTTCCATCCAGCTTCTGTGCACTGTTAATTAACTTGGGTGAATACACCCTCGCATTGAAGTAAACAGCCGGCTTTCCTCCCTGCATATCCTGTGAAGAGTGTCTTGTGGCGTGGGGGGAGACTGTCGTTGGAGCACTGAAGGAAACTGACGTCCAGCCCCGTTGCGCCTTGCTTTACCTTCTGAGTGTTGCGCGGTGTGTTTCCAGGGAGACGTGGAGGAAGATGAGGCCATTCCAGACAGCGAGCAGGACATCAGACCCCGGTTCCATCGCTCCCGGACTGTGGCTCAGCAGCACGAAGCCGACGGCATCGAGGAAGAGGACGACGATGATGATGACCTCGATGATGATGACACCATCTCCGACTGGAATTTAAGTAGGTGCATCCAGGGTTGCTGCACGACTAGAAATGTGTTTTCAGTTTAACACTCCAGGCCAAGGTTTATTTTTTCCACATTTACCATAACCATATTAGAAATACCTCTCACTCTGATCACAGTGTAGAGTACAGTGGATCACAGCAGAAGAGGACTAATGATGCTGTGGTTTGAAAGAGTAAGCAAATGAGTTTGCTGTTCTTAAAGTCAGCAAATATTTAGGATCTTGCTTAGCAGGAAGTTGAAAATTCATCAAAGGATACTTATATGAGCCCTAAATATTAATTGCCAACATTAACAAAGTGTAGTTTTGATTTTTACTTGCGGATAGCCACGTGTATTGAAACTTGAATTTATACGATATGACTATATTAATTTTCATTTGATAAGCAAAATAAAAAGAATAGGTTTCCTATGTATGCTCTATGCATTATAAGTGGTATGCTTGTTAGCATTGTTTTAGTCCATGTGTAGTAATTACTGTAGTTTTTCAAATGCAACATGTATAAACTGTATATTGCAATGGTTTCTACATCTTCTTTTAATTCATATTTTAAGTTCAGTTTCTCTGAGTGTATTACATTTTCTGGATAGGAACAGGGCTTGATCACAGCTACTCAGGACGAAAGTATTTGAAAATCCCCAAATCCAATTTTAAAAAATCCAGGCGTTTCTCCAGGTCAATTCATTAACTTTTTGAAATTCCTGATGTAATAAGGATATAGTGTTAATATTGCCAACACTCCAAATTAACTTAACTACATCAGGTGAGGCGCTACAACAGACAAATTGTCAAAAGATGGATTGACATTATCGCCTTCTTTTTTACAGGAAAATGTTCAGCTGCAGCCTTGGATGTTCTTGCCAACGTTTTCCGTGATGATCTCTTGCTTCACATCCTCCCTTTGCTGAAGGAACTACTGTTTCATCCTGAATGGGTGATAAAGGAATCGGGAATATTGGTCCTTGGGGCAATTGCTGAAGGCAAGTAGCCAGATTGAAGGTGCAGCAAGTCCAATTTAGTCGAGGTTAAAGTTTGTCTGGACATGTGCTGTAAACCATGATTTGGGAATATGGATATAGGTGATCTCTAGAAGGTAAAAGTATCAAATATTTGTTTATATGTAATTTGAAGTTGGAATGTAATGTTTTTCTATGGAGATATGGTTGCTGAGAGCGAGCACATCCTGATAGATGTGATGAGCTGTTAATATATAATGGGGCTTTATTACAAGGAATCCTGAGATGGATAATTTGTTGTTTTTTTTCCGGAAAAGTAGCTTTAGTAGCAGATTGAATAGAAAGAAGGTAAAGGAATGAAGAATTGAGATGAATGGACTTGATAAGAAGGTCTCAGTGGGATTTTTGTAATCGGTTAGTCCGATAATTGGGTAAATGATTTATGTGGTTTTAAGTGTTTCTTTAGGATCTGTGGGAAGAGGGGTTATTATTCATGATTTGGCTGCGCTTCAAATTACTTGTACTGAATTGTGGCGATTTTAGCCTTTACTCTCCTTACACGACTCACATCCCACTGTTAGGATTTAATACTTAGTTTTGCTTCGTCACCCTGTGTGTCGCATTTTTTTTTCTCATAAGTTCAGAAACTACAAGATGTTCTGTTTCAGTTCATTTCACATGGTGTTAAATTTGAAATTGTTCTCAATTTAACTGGACTGGGGAGGTTGAAATTGAGCAAAAAGTAAAGTGGAATCCTACCTTCATGTAGAACTGTCTGCATAGTTCTCCTCAATGGATTATAGATGTGCTTTTTCAGGCTGTATGCAGGGTATGATCCCGTATCTGCCAGAGCTGATCCCCCACCTTGTCCAGTGTCTATCTGACAAGAAGGCTCTCGTCCGTTCAATCACCTGCTGGACCCTCAGCCGCTATGCACACTGGGTGGTCAGCCAGCCCCCGGACACCTACCTAAAGCCACTGATGACCGAACTGCTGAAAAGAATCCTGGACAGCAACAAGAGGGTTCAGGAAGCTGCCTGCAGGTAAGGCGACAGACTTATTCAATTAAATTAAATTAAGGGTAGATGTTCATGTAGTTTCTGATTCTTGCGTTTCAATAGGCAAAATCACAAGTGTAATTGTAAATTGTATGCAAATTGGTGTATTCTGATATTTGTTGTTTATAATTAACTCTTGCTTATTATCTATTATCTAAAACCTTTTCTAATCTTTTTGTTGTGATTGTAAACTGAAAGGATTTATTTGTCTTAAATATCATTTTGGGAGAGGGCCTCCTGAGTGGCTCAGGTGATAAAGGTGTTTGTCTGAGTGCATGTTGAGCCCTGTGATCATAGTTTTGAGTCTTGGTCATGTCACTAGCCAGTTGCAACCAGGCTCACCCAAAGAGCCACGCAGCGTGTCTAGGCTGAGACTTGGTTGCCAGGAACCTCTCGGTTTTTCCTCTGTGGCCTCCTGGATGCATGCAGGCAAATGGTGCCGTCAGTGAGAAATGTACTTGTCCTCCATTTGTCACTTAATCTCCTGCATGGGACCGTTCTGTTTGTGACATCTTAAAAGACAAACAGCTCAGAAGTGGGATGGTTGGTGGAGTCTCCTCCCCACTGATAGCTGATGTGTGGTGAGCATTCTGGGGCACTATGGCTGCTGTCGCATCATCCAGGTGGATGCTGCACATTGGTGGTGGTGGAGGGGAAGTCCCTATTACCTGTAAAGCGCTTTGAGTGGATTGTCCAGAAAAGCACTATATTAATAATAAGTGTAAGCAATTATTACTTCCTTGTTCTCTCCCGAGTTCCGTTGCAAGATTCATAGCTACATGCCAAGATGTGGAAAGCTCACAGCCGTCTCTTCCAGTTCTGCTGGGTATTAGAGAAATAATTGCCAATTCTAGTTGGATATAAAACATCTTTTAGAATTGGATTAAAGAGAGCCATAAAGCTGATGGTTTTTATTAACTTCAGCATTATGCCTGCACCCATCAAATGTTGGAGTTGGAACATAAAAACAGCTATAAATGAAAGAACGCAATTTGGCACTTTTCAAAAAAAGTGCATCCTGTTCTCATTTTTCAAGTACAGTTTCCTGTATTTTCCAGTTGTCTGCTTCATGATTCACTGTAGATTCTGAAGAAATCCACTGCATTGATTTCTCAGTTTTTTGAGGGTATTGAATACTTGCATCAGTTTCCCTTGTAGTCATCTTTGTTCAAGGCTAAAACGGTTTAATACTTTTCCCCATGAGTGTTGGATATTCATTTAAGACCAGGAAGATATCGGTTTGCTTTTCCCTGGGCTAATTCCACAGCTGCAATACTTCATTTGTATTATGGATGAGCGTGTTTTATAGCCACATCACTGCCTTTGAAGCCTGATCTTGTCAGATCTCAGGAGCTAAGCAAGCAAGGTGAACGTTTCCCTTTGGACAAGAAATTCCCTGCCAGTCTATATGTATTTTTGCCAATCCATATATTTTTCTGTGTGTATGACTGGGGATGTTGCAGGCGGTTCCATGCTTTGGATTTAGAGGTGGTGGTCGTTTGGCCAATAACAATTTATTCATTTAATGATTTAGCTGGATAGGTCAATTAAATTACAGAAACATCCTGGAAATCTTATGACATTGTTAGTATGATAGGGGGTGTTAACCTTTGTGTCCTGGCTTATTTCTACATGGGCATGTATACTTGCCTCCCTGTATTTTTAACCATGGTACAAACTGAAGCACACTCACTTCTCTGCCTGCTCTGCTGTGTAGTGAGCCTGCTAGTACATAATTGCTGGTCACCCAGGTGAATGTTACACTTCAGTGGTCGTTTAAGTGGCCCGCTTGAATGTGAAATGCTTTGGAATCCTTCGTATTGAAATCATCACAGAAATGTAAGTGATTTATTTTTGATGTTGGGTATATGACCAGATTTGAAGTATCAGTTAATTTAGGGTTTCTTTGGCAGCCTTTGGTGTTTACTTTGTGGTTTTTATAGTGTTGGTAAAATGTGAATTTAGGTAGTTTACTATTCATACAAAAGCCTAGGGTGATTGACATAAATTTGGATGGCCAGTGACCGTAACAAAGATCCCTATGGTATTCCACTAATTATATCACCTCTTATCTGTGCTGTGTTCTATCCATTAACCAGATCTCAAGTCAAACATACATCATTTTGAATGCCAACTGCTGCATGTAATTTGATATTTTATGAGGAGCTTTATCAGACGCCTTCTGAAAATCTGAACGCCATATCTTGTATATGCATCTGTTTATCCAGTACTGCTATTGCTTCTTCAAAGAACTCTTAACAACTTTTTAAACAAGGCCTAGTTTCTCTAAGCCCATGTGATTTTGATCTCGAATTCTGTTACCACAGTATATCCTCTGCTTTAGGTCTAGTTATCCTTGTAGGGCTGAAATTGAAAAGGAAAATCAGCTAGTCTAGTCACACAGCAGTTACCTCTGTTACCAATATAAAAGAGAATAAAGCTGTGATCTTTTTTTACAATTATTTTTCTGGTTTGCTGACCCAAAAATAAAAGCTTAAAACATATTAAAAACGTATAATTTTTGCCATTACCGTATGTAATGAAGCAATAATGTTATACTGGAGTGCAGGACACGCTGAGCAGCAGCCACTGTCTTCTAATGTATTTAATTTTTATGGGAAGAAATGTCATTTGTGAAATCGGACAAGAATGCTCTTCTTGGATTCCGTTGCTCCTTGACTACTAATGATGTCTGAAAAGCTCGTAATGGCCATTATAGTTGCCGAGGTAAGCCAACAACCATTTATTTGTATGTGCCACAACATGTGAGAGCACTTAAGAATAGATGAAACCCCCAGAAGCTCAGCGAGCCTTGAAAGTTTAATGTGTTCCTGATGTCTCGACTGTTTGACCTTCCGTCAGGAACATTTTCATTTGCTTCATCGCACCCGGTCAGCCTTTGAAAACTCCTGTTTAATCCCGGGATGCATGTTTTGAAGTTATTTTCAAAACGTCAGTCTGCTGCTTTATTGCTTTGCACAACTGTTTTTTGGGTTGATTTTTTTTTTATGGTGAATATTTGGATTTTGATTCTAGTATTATGCAAACAACAGCAGTGTGCTATAAAGTTATTTTTTTCAGAGCCAGCTGCGTCCTATCCCACTTTTGACCTTATAAACTAATTACAGTGTGGCATAAGGTACATGTAACATTGTTGGGTTAATTTTGTGTTCAGGGGGTGTGCTGTTATACAGATGTTTTAGATGCGTTTAACTTTCGCATTTGGTTTGCACTTTGCATCTAGGAGCTTAAAAACACCATGTGGTTTAGCTCTATTGTTACTTTGCAGACTATTGTTTGTGGATGCTTTGTACACATTCTTTGGAACCATTTTGTCACAAGTTGAATTTAGTCAGATACGTGATAGTCTGGGGTCTTTAATTAAACATTCAACATTGTCGACTATTAGTTTGTCTTTTTTATCATGGCCTTAAAACCCCACCTCAGTAACCCTACCTACACGTAATAGTAGGGTGTAATGATAAGGTTTGTAAAGCAGTCTTCTTGAAAGGCTAATGCAATAATGAATTATAAACTATAAAGTATATTAAACTACATGAATTAAGATATGGGATTCAGTATTTTTTAGATCAAGAATTTAAATGAAGGCTAGGACATTTGAGAAATAAAAACCTAAAGATTACAGTATGTTCTTGTTTTGTAGGTTTGTGGTAGAAGGCATGTTGTAACATCCAATATTAAAGTTTTTGCCAGAAAGTAGAATGGGATGGTACAAGACTATATCCAATAAAAGCTGTGTCAGCTGAAGAGGCTGATCCAGAAATACCTTGGTAGAGAAGGGAGTTCATTCTCAAAAGACGACTTTTCATATTTCAAGTAAATGGGCCTAAAATCTGATTTTACAAGTAGTCAATTATAGCATGCAGCCTGTTATGGCATTGCAATATTGGGATGTTTATTGGCAAAACCCTTTAAACCTGAAGTAGTATTCTGTAACATGGCTCATTTGTTTGTCATCAAAGCCTGATTTTGTTTTGTTCTGTGCTTCATCTTCAGTGCCTTTGCAACACTTGAGGAAGAGGCGTGCACAGAGTTGGTGCCCTACCTCGCTTATATACTGGACACCCTTGTGTTCGCATTTAGCAAGTACCAGCACAAGAACCTGCTCATCCTGTACGATGCGATAGGGACCTTAGCGGATTCCGTTGGGCACCATCTGAACAAACCGGTAAAGCACGAATGCTTCCCTCTGCAATCTTTTTTTGCACTGCACAATTAATAACTTGTTTTCTAAAAAAGGGAAGAAAATAATTAGGGAAGGTCACCAAAGGTTTATTAGTCTTGATTCCAGTTGAATTAATTAGGTTTATTCCTTAATTCCCTTCTAATTGGAAAAATAAATCTTTGAGAGTCTTGTACTGATAATTATTTTTATTTCCATAAGCATGTACAGCATCTGCAATGAGGTATATTTTTGTCTTTAGGAGTATATCCAGATGCTGATGCCACCCCTGATTCAGAAATGGAACCAGCTGAAGGATGAAGACAAGGACCTGTTCCCTTTACTCGAGGCAAGTGTTCCTTGTAATGGGTATTGAAGGTGAATGCAGGTTATCTCACGACTTCATTTGAATTGTGAGTGTCGGGGTCTCGGTGCTCAGAGCCGTGGGGTTACCAGCCTTTTAACTTGAGTGAGTCCTCAGTTACGCAATTAAGCTCTTCGCTCAGCGGGAACTTTGATTGCCTTTACTGCTGCCACTTTCAGTGCGTTTGATTAAAGATCTGGAACCATATAGACGTGGTGAAACAATTTAGTCAGATGGGATGAATCCTCTCTTTATCTGGTCTTATGTTCTAATATGTTCTTATCTAGTTTATCAACTATTCCAGTTGACTAGGCCAAAAACCTGTTTAATGAATTGAGTTTGATTGCCTTCACTTTAGTCATCTTAACGGAAACCTAGTCAGGTCTCTAAAGCTACAATCTAACTTGTAACTAAAGCAACAATGATCCAAAAAGGTCAACACATTAAGTAAAAGTACTCACATATTCACTAATATTTTTCATCTCTGCACTTACACTAATGAGGTGCTGTTCTAAGTAATAGGGCATCTTTAAAATTTACTAATTTTAAGTTAGCCTTACCGACTTATTTTTGATTTGAGATCTTTTCTGTCTAAGCTGCAACTTTTATTACACTGTTATTTTTATTTGCAACTCCCTGGATTCAGGGTGTGACATTTTTATTGGATAAGAATACATGCACGGTTCCAGCTGGCTGTATGGTTTCACAGCTGCTTGCAGTGTCTTGTGACATTTTTGTAAATGGCGGTATTGCACTTTTTTTTGTTTTTTCATTATCTCTTAGTTGAACTGAGATATACCTATATACTGTACCATCCTAAGCCTGTTTTCCGTTTTGACTCAGTGAAGCAGTACCAAATAGTTTTTCCTGCATTTTATTTTGAGCTTAGCTTGGATGCAGAATAGTTGGAAAGTAAATGATCAGCCACATCCATAACAAAGAACTGAAAAGGCTTAAATAATTTAAAGTTTTTGACAAAGGTTTAACTTTTTTCTCAGCTCGAGATTTGTTTTTGTATGAGCCTGTCTCTGATACAGTTGTATGGATGCTTACAAAGCATTAATATACAGTTGGTTCAAGATGAATTCCAAAGGTCATGGGATGAGGTGCAGTAAAAAGGGAACCACGGAGGATGCATACTGTATGTATCCATTACCTCTCCTTAATTTTCAGTGTTTCAGTATTTTAGGAATTGGTGCCACTGCAACTAAAATCTAATAGAATGTGTTGAATCTGTTCAACAAGCAAAAACAGGATCTGTCCAATACCCCATAATCCATAAGAGATCAGTGAAATCTGTTTCTCTTTCATATTATAAACTAATATGTTTTTCTGCAAATCCAGCCTGGTTAATATCTTCTCAGAACAAACGCATAGTGAATTAGGTTTTTTGAGTGCTTGTCCTTGTGTTCCTTGTCTGCAGTGCCTGTCCTCAGTTGCCACTGCCCTGCAGTCTGGCTTCCTCCCATACTGTGAGCCTGTGTACCAGCGATGCGTCAATTTGGTGCAGAAGACCCTAGCACAAGCCATGGCAAGTGTCCCAAATCTTGTACGTCTGGAGAATGTAAAATGAGTTTGAAATAGTGTAAAAACCAATGGAAGTCGGTTGGGCTCGGGGGGCAAAGCAGCGTCTTTCTGGTAATGGCTAATTGCTCTCAATTCAGTAAAAAAAATGATTTGATAGCTAGCTTTTGGCAGGCAATGGAAATTATTGCCTTCATTCCTGTTTGGTACATAAGAGATTTGCACACTTGGTCATCATGAAGCATCAGAAATTTTTATGTTATACCACTTTAAGAATTTATGGTGTAAAGTATGTACTGGTAATCTGATGATGATGCTAATGTAACTTCATATTTTTATGGAAATGTCTGTTAGTACAGCTATGTAATAAACCTGTAAATGCGTACAGCTAATAAAAAGTTGAAAATGTTAACTTGGATATGGTCATTCCCATTATGCCTGTGATTAGTACGCATTTAGTTATAGCGATAGGCTACCTCGACACTAATCAGCAGTTTGTAAAGACTCATTTGATGTTCATCAGGTTAGTATGCTAAGTGGTCCTTGAGAGCTGCAGGCTGCTGGTATTTTCATTTTAAATGACCTATAATGTACTTCATTGAATAAATCAGCTGCTTTAAGTGGTCAAAACTAAATTCTTCCAAGGTTTTAGGAATTGATTGTTTCAGAGAAACCCATAAAACCTTTTAGTTTGTGTCTTTCCAGGATCTGGTCTGCTCTATTGCAGATCTTTCTTAATCATGACTAACAGAGTCGAAGTAATTATGGACCAGTTAAATAATGGATGGATTGACACTGCAGTCAATCCATGGTGCTTAAGAGCCAAGGTAGCTTCAATAGTTTCTACAATAGCTTAATGGGTAACTATTGTGGTTTTCACATGTGTCTACTACTACAAATGTAATGATGTGGTCGTAGTCAGTAGGGGGAGCTCAAATCAGGCTCAGGTTTAAAATAAAGGTTCACCAATGGGAAAGACGATCTCATTTTGAAGGTGTAATCCTCAGTATTTCTCATGCTCCGGATGATATAGGTTTAAAAATGGTGTCAAGATTTTTGTGCCTTTAAGGTTTTAACGAAGATGGAAATTTCTTTTTAACAGTTACACAATGCCCAGCCTGATCAGTACGAAGCTCCAGACAAAGACTTCATGATTGTAGCCCTTGATTTACTCAGTGGCTTAGCCGAAGGTCTCGGAGGAAACATTGAACAGCTTGTGGCACGCAGCAACATTCTCACGTTAATGTACCAGTGTATGCAGGTAATGTAAAGCTTAAAGGTTATCTATTTATTGTTGTAAGTCATGGAGGAGGCTGTTTATCCTTTTTCTTAGCACCTAATTCTGTAATTGTGATGTTTTAGGGAATATTTTCTTTTGAATGAATGCTCAGTCTTTGATTCACAAACAGATTGATCCCAAACCCTGTTGGTAACTCAAGTTCCCAACAGTTTTTCTCATAAGAATACAATTTCCCCACCCACACAACCAGCAGATTTTCCATATTCTCAATCGTACCACTACTTTTTTTAATAATAGCGGTTGGTTTAGTGTGGAAGGTTTTACATATTCCAGAATTCTTTTCGTCCACTTTTTGAACAATTAAAGCCAAGACCAGTACAAGTTGAGAAAGTTTCACCTTTTTATTTTTTTATGATTCTGCTTTCATTTCAAAGGTTATTGTGCATTTTTTTATTTGATACATCTTTATCACATTTCCTTTTCTTGGCATTGGCTATTTAAAAGGCCTGTTGATGCTTAAAATACCAATGAAAGCCACCCTGCCCCTCACTGAGCGACTGTTGTTTTGAACCACATCCCCTCACAATGCTAATGAGCGAGCCTCAGTTTGTCCTCAATATATTCCAAAGGCATTTGGTATTTTGTCATTCTTATTGCTTATGGAGAGAAGGTTGTGTGATATTAGGAAGAAAAGATGTTCCTATCGTGATTGTTTGTACCTTAAGGACTGTGTGTTTTCACATTTATAATTTGTAATGTGAAAGTATAGCTTTTTTGGTGACTTTTTAGTGGAAACAATAATCATACTGACTGATATGGTATACATACAAAGTGCCCAGTTATTGTAAGCACAATTAGAAAGACCTTCTATTTATAAACTGTACACCATATACATCTTTAGTTTGCAGACTGTTGCCTGAATAGAACATAGTAAAAACTGAAGTTGACATATTGTCAGTACACTAATGATAGCATTGGGGCTTACAAGCCTTGGAACCTGCCAGTACATTGGAATGACTGGTTTCTCTTTGACCTCGGGGAAGTTCTCAGTGTAGTGCGGCCCTGATGGCAGAGCTGCAAAGTAACTGACCCATATTTCCGTTGCGTGTTGACTTTTTGAGGCTGTCCTGCCGATAAGCGCACACACGCCCATCCTCTGGTGCTTGGTAGCCTCTCTAGAAATGAGCAGGTTAAATGAGGATACAACTTACTCTCTTGCAATCTTTTTTTTCTTCCCTTTCAGGATAAAATGCCGGAAGTGCGGCAAAGTTCATTTGCCTTGTTGGGTGATTTAACCAAGGCTTGTTTTCAACACGTAAAGCCATGTATTGGTATGTACTTTTTTGACCTTCAATTTGTTTGATGCGACTGTGAGCTGAGATGATTGCAGTTCGGTTTAAGATATTTATCTTGATGCCATTTTCTTTTTTCCTCTCCCCCAGCTGATTTTATGCCTATTCTGGGTACTAATCTTAACCCTGAGTTAATCTCTGTGTGCAACAATGCAACGTGGGCAATTGGAGAGATATCTATACAAATGGGTATGTATGCCACTTTAATGAACTTTCTTTTTAATTATAAATAATTAAATACAATTTAATTAAATTGATATTTATCTATTTAATAGCATCTAATTAGTTTCTACTTTACAGACTCTTAGATGGAATCTGTAAATTTGTGCAGTTGCCATTGTGTGGCAACAGTGTTTCTCTGGCTTTTTATTCACAGTCAGGCTTAGATCTGCTTCTGGGTATAGTCACCATGATTACACTTTGTTTTAATTCTGAAATAGCAAATACTACATATACAGGCAAAGGCTAGTCCCTTTTCTGGTCTCCCCAGACTGGCTGAAATAAACCTCTCCTTTTCTTTTTATGTAAAACAAATCAGCATATTTTCCTAGATTTAGATAGATTCATTTTGTAAACCTTCGAAGATATTTCCAGAAAGTAATACATTTAAAAAATCTACTAGATGCTTTAATATATATATACTCGTAATATGCTGTTCCTATTCTGTTGGTAGCATGTGTGTATAGAACCGTGAGCTAATATGTTGATGTGCTAGGTCTTTTCAAAATGTGGCTTGAGGTTCTCAAAGAATTCCCTACTGTATGAGCTCTGGTGCCCTCCTGTAATAAAGATCGTATCTATATTTTTAATGATAAAAAAGTAAATTTAAATGTTGCTTCTTGCTTTGTTATATCAACCAAGAGAACCTAATGTGTGTTCATACTTGAAGCTTATTGTGAAATTAGGTGCCATTTCATTTTGCCAGCAGAGGGAACCATTGCACCACAGTTGTTAAAAAGTCTCAATTGCCCTGCAGAATTGGAGAGACCTTTGCAGACACTTCCCTCCATAGGGAGGGTAAACGTTTCAAATTTAAATGACATCGGCTGTGCTATTTGTTTAGTTAGCAGTTATTTTTGAGGCACATTTATTTGTCTGCCAGCATTCCTGCTGCACTCCCTGGAACATATTTACACTATATAATTTCATGGGAAGTGCTTGAAGGACTGTTTCATAATATAGCTGTGTGCTATAATGTGGTGTTGTGTCTTTTCTGCCACACATCAGTTAACTGTGTCCTATACATGTCTTAAATGCCTCAAAGCTATACTGTATAAACTAAATATTTCTGAGCACAGTAAAGACTAATGTGCTACATTTTAGGCTAGGTATTCTTCCCTGTGTATTGAAGCCCTAAATTAATCTGTTTTTGGACAAAATGGATACTTCCCCATTTGTGTTCATAATTAAAGTTTATCTACAAATTATCAGTTTTTTTAGTCACTTCTGTTTTAGTTAATTATATTTGGTCCGTGCGGATGGTGTAACAGATGCTTTTTTACTGTTGCATTACATGTATTAAATAGTTTCCATGCCTTTCTGTGCGCAATATTAATCCTGTGCTCTTTCGAGAGCTGGTTTTAATGTCATCTTGTTTCCCATCAGGCGCTGAAATGCAGCCTTACATTCCCATGGTGTTACGCCAACTGGTGGAGATTATTAACAGACCGAATACGCCCAAGACATTATTGGAGAACACAGGTACCACTCAGCAGGGTGTGAGGAGCTAGGGAGTACTGAGGGATGTGTTTATGGTCTTACCGCCAGAGAGGGGAAAATCACAAACTTGATTGCTTCTTAATTCAAAAATCCCAAGCTGCAGTTACAAGCTTCAGGGCTTAATTTGTTATTACAGCGATGCTGAATTCTATAATAAAAACTTTTTTTTTTCTAAATCGTACTGAATAGTGTCAAAACTTAGCTGGATTTGTTTTTCCTCCAAAGAAACTGAAGCTTGTAATTTTGTAGTTTTGGTATTAACTAAACAGGCTGTATTCTGTAAATCATTACAAGGCATTAGCACTGCTTGATGATTTACTGTACGAACTCTTTAATAGTATCAGACAGCAACCTTAGTGTAAATTAGAGTTCCAGAGCATTTAAAACAGATTGGAAAGTGAAGTGCTTTTTTTGTTTGCTTTATAATATGTATATTTGCTGAGCATAAAGATAAAACTAATACATTGCCTGAGGAACAGATTAATCCTTAAAACTCTCATGTAAATGATATGAAGATAGCTTACATAGCACCTTTATCTGCCATTAATTTCCTGTTACACTCTGCTTTTATTTGTGATCCTCACACTTAACAGCTGACACTATGCTCACTGGTGGAAAGAATGGTTGTTCGTTGTTTCCGAAGCTTTTCAATTCCAAGTGGGGGAAAATAAGAGTGGAGTGTAATATGTTAAAACTGTTAAGCTAATATTAGGGCTTAGGTGTGTTCTTGTTTGTTTATTATTTGTTTTATTTACTGTTTTAAATGTGAATGCATATCTGCAAATAGATGTTGAATGTTATTTAGTCAAGGATGGCAAATGTTTAATGCAGGATATCTGATCCCCATTTTCATATCTGGCTAACAAGCCTAAAAAATTGTGATGATTTTCATGGTTTGTGGGGGAAAAAATAATAAATTCAAATAATTGAATTTTTTCATTTCTAACACCTTTCTCCCGCCCCCCAAAGTAAAAACTAAGAACTTTTTCTTAAGATCCTGTATGATTGGCTAGAGTTTTTACACACTATAGTATAGCTCATTTTTACTGATGTAGAAACATTCAGTTTCTTCTGGTATATGAGCTTTTAAACTACTAGGTACAAGTGTCACCACCATCATCACTGCTACCTCTTGTAGAGCCCAGGTGGAAAAACTGGTATCTTGGCATAAACAAAATATACTACCTCACAGCGTAAGATGGCTGTGGAGAAGAGAGCTGTCAGTAAAATTGTGCTAAGCGCGATAACAAAAGACCATGTTTTGACGACAAGTAAAAATCCATCTCGCCAGATCTCTTTATTTCTGGATCTGAAGGGTTTTAATGCTGATAGCCCTTCACTAAAAGCTGAAGGAAAGGCTTGTGCCTAGTCACGCTTAATGCTGTTTTATTGTCTTCACATGGTGGTGGCTACAGTGATGTCACGTTTGAATGCCTCACCAGATCAGTGCATTTGCATCTTTCACAATTTAATTTGACAATGAGAAAACTAAACAAAAGGGATCTGAAAAAAGTGAGCAAAATGTAATGTTACCAGTTGTGTTTTTGGTGAGTAATCAGACTTTAAAATTTTCCCCCTGTACTCTTTGTGCCTGCCCTTTAGCAGTTCATTTTCGGGAATTGCATAGTCCCTTTTTTGCAATCGCTATTTAGAGGAATTCTACAAAGTAAAAACCTACAGTCCCTAACTAGGTTTGAAGAATGAAGCCCTCTTTCAATTCCAACTTGATTTTCAAAAGTGAGTCAAAGAAATGCAGTGCACATGAAAAGCATGATGCCATGATGTGCTCTTAATTCAAAGTGGATCAGTGTATCCTGCAATGAACCTTATTCTAATGAGCATTCATCTGCTTTTTGCATGTTTCATTGGATTGTTCATAAATGCCTGTTTTAATGAGAATGTTGCATAGTTTGTGTCTCTTAAACTTAGGTTTCCCTCCTCTGCTTCATTTGAATCTGCTGGATTTTAGTGTTCTCCATGTAGTTGGCTTGGAGTAATCCTTGAAACCATTTCTTTTTTCTTATGAAAGATTAACCTTTTTGTGAGTTTAAGGGAGAAAACTGAGAAAGTGCACTATCTTGATTCAAGTTAGATCTGCTTGCTTGGCAGTTTACTTTTAACACCTTTAAATTAATGTGTTCTTTTTTAGGACTGGGATGCATGGATATTTCCGTTATATAACAACCGACATCAGGGAATAAAAAATTAAAATCTGATAAGGCTGCAGGTTGCTATTACATAGGAGTAGAAGAAAACCACCCTAGATCACACGTTTAATGCTGAGATGTGAACAGCAGCTGCCTGTGAACAATAAAGCCTTACATGTTTAAGGCATTTGGGACCCATGACCTTATGTACCATCCAGAAATGTTGGCTTTAGTTTCCAGCTGCGTTTTCAAGTGTTCTCCCTTAAATGTTTTGTTTGTTTTTAGAGTATCATATTTTACATCCCCCTTAGACTGGGGTAGTAATAATCAGCACTAGTGAAATCTTATGTTTATTATCATACACAGATTCTGTTGATTTCTGTTTCTGAGTTATTTGTTGTTTTTTTCTTTATTTTTTCTCCTCCCCCTCATTTGCTCATGTCTTGGTTGGCGTTTGGTGGTGTATAACCGTGATTGCGTTACCTTAGCAATAACAATTGGTCGTCTTGGTTACGTTTGTCCTCAAGAGGTGGCACCCATGCTACAGCAGTTTATAAGACCCTGGTGTGTATTATTCAATCTTTTATTTAATTCATTTCCTCTTCACTCTCTCTTTTTAGAGCTCTCTGTTTCTTGCTCTCTCTCACTCTTTTAAAAAGCTATTTTCAGTTTGAGAGTCACAGTCCTTAATCATTGTCAACCATGTGACTAATCTTGTCCTTTTTAGGTCTGTGATTTTCCTCAGTAGCACATTCATGTATATATTGATTTTTTTTTTGTTGTCGTTATTGTCGCTAACAACTAATTAATGCATGGGATAAGATTGTCACATGCTTGCTGGTTCGAAAAGGCTTGTTAATATGCCAAAAAGAGCACAATCAGTCCACCAGAATAATTTGTGGTGCATGTGTCTATCTCAGAATGCTCCAAACCTGCATTACTGTAATATTAAAAGTGGTATACATAAGGTGCTATTAGTTAATGACTTAAGGTTATGTTTATATCAGTAGGCATTGATTTCAGCAAATCTGCCAGTTTAGCAATAAATATATTATTGTTATTGCTCATACTGGCTCTTTGGGCTTCTGAACTGAAACAGTACAAGCCCATATATATGCTTTATAATGTGCATGTCTATAAAATGTAATATGGTGGGTATTGCTTTAGATGTCCACGAAAGCTAATGCATTTTTCTCACCAACATTAGTCAACTTTCCAAAATACTAATATCAAGCTCTTCAGTTACATGCATCCTTATTACAGTTAAGACATTCAATTCTTTTCTTTCAAGCTGGTTTCTTACTCAAATTGTAGTCATAAAATATACATCTCATAATGGCCTTATTCACTTTACCAGATTTGACTGATGTATATTTAAATGTTTCAGTGTGAAGGCAGTACATAGATTTACCACTATCCTTATGGGTTCTGTTGCTACATTAAGTGACTTTATTATTTACAATAAAGACAGTTGTTAAGAGTATTTTTTCTAAAATAGTTGTGAGGAGACCATAGTCCTCTTATTACTTTTACTGCCTTCATTTTAGCATCAAATGTATCTCACATTGATAGTGTTAACCTACAGTAAACTGATTAGTTTTTGAAGTATTCACATATGGCACTGAATGTTTAAAATGTACTCCCTCCATTTGTCCTGCAGCTCAGATAGCTGCAGACAAGGTTAGGTATGGATAGATCACATGGCCTTGTGGCAATGGGATGAAATACTCAGTGCGCTGTTAAAGCTGCATCAGAAACTGATGAATGCCTGTAGCCTTCTTCACTTAAACTTGGCATGCCTTCTCTTTCAAAACACTTAAGATGCAATTGCCAGTGCTGCTCCTTAGATTTAACACTGGACACAGGAACTGGGATATTAAAGTCAGGTTTTCTTAAATCCAGTCTTAAATCCTCTTAGGTCCTGTCATTATTTGCTGTAACAGTGAGTATATTTCATGTTTCAACATACAACTATATGTATTACTGTATGCAATGTACATTTAATAGCTTTCTTGCACAGATGCAGGTAATGGCATTGTTCAAATGCCTTTGGATGTGTTGTGGCTTATAGAATATATTATAAGCCCCCAGTCCCCAAGCAATGCAAAATACTTGTATTATAGTGTAAAGGAAGTTTACAAATATGCACTATTATGTAACCAGTTTCAATGAATGAAGATCTCTATATGCCTTACAAACACAATTTGTAAAGTGCATAAGGCCCAGCATTGTTGTAGCAATTATACTGTGAAAAGAACAGCACATTGTGTGATAAATCAGAAAAAGTCAAGGTACTGTGTTCTATTATTTTAAAATAAAAACCCACATTTGTGGACGTTATGCTTTCAGTGCCTTAGAGCAGCCATGCAAAGATCTCTCAAAGAGAAATGTCTGCCTCTTTAAATGTATTCATTTTCCAATTTAACAGGTGTACTTCACTGCGTAATATAAGAGACAATGAAGAAAAAGACTCAGCATTCCGGGGAATCTGCACTATGATCAGTGTCAACCCTGGAGGAGTTGTACAGGTGATAACCCCAATTCTACATGGAAGATCTTTCCCTCTTTCAAGTCAAGGCACATGAAGCACTCTCTAAGAACTATGAGCTACTATCAATGGAAAGTAATTATCGACATGGATCAATTAGGCAGCAACCTGGAAAAGCTATTGCTTCCTCATAGTAACCTTGCAGCAAGTATTCTCAACATTAATTTTCTTCAGCATAGTTTGTTTTTACCTTGGTTGCATTTTGTTTTTACCTTTGATTTGAATTACATGGAGGTAATTTTGGTAGACAAGGAAACTTGTTTCTTATGACTGTGAACAAACTGTCTTTGAGGGCCAATGCAGATCCGTTTACCTTTCAGGATTTTATATTCTTCTGTGATGCAGTGGCCTCGTGGGTTAGCCCTAAGGATGACCTGCGAGAGATGTTCTGCAAGGTAACCATTTCTATAAATGTGTGTTCTGGGTGCCTATGTTTAACTGAATGCAGGAAATTACGTTTTGGGATTCCGTATCTACTTTAGGAAATAAAATACAATGCAATTTCTATAAGGATGGATTTAACACTTCTACAATTATATCCCAATCTTGTTGTTCCTAGATCTATCCTTTAAAGCCAAAGGATTCACTTAAAATGGTCATAGCCCTATTATAATGGGCCAGTTCAGATCATATACTTTTTTGAGCGGCTTTTGTTTTCATAGCGGGGTTGAGACTTGAAACCAGCCAACTGTGTTAGGAAAATTAACTTTGGTCTCTACCTATTAAACTCTTTTTCTGCACAGTATAGAGATTAAACGTATTATAAAAACAATATTAAATTATAGATACTATGTGTTGAGTCATTATTTGAGTTTATCATTCACATGCAAACATCAAAAGCATTTAGTGTTATTGCAAAATGCTTTTGATTTGAAGGCAAACAGCGTATTAATATAATATATGCAGTTGCTGATCGGGCTGCATTTTCCTTAAACTGTCACATGGGAAATAGTTTTTAACCTGATCACCTTAAAATTGTAAAAAAAACTGCACAGTGTATTCAGGATTTTCATCTTATCTTTTGATCTAGTTGAAACATCTGGAAATCTCACCTTGTAGTTACCCCATTTTTAATAGATTTAAAAAAAGAATTTAGGAAAAACTCTCTATACTAGGCACTGGTTACGCTACAAATATCAGGGCCCACTATGCATTTCCCTTAGAATTGTTTCGTTCATTCTTAAACGGTGACAAGTAGCTGTGCTCCTATCCCATGCATGGGAAATCGGTTTGAAAGGTGACTGGTGTAATTAAAAAAATAATAATCTGCTTCAAATTCTGTTGTCCTCATGGCTCCTACCAGAAATGTGAAATTTCTGTTAAATTTCAGATCCTCCATGGATTCAAAAACCAGGTGGGAGATGAGAACTGGAGGCGATTCTCTGATCAGTTTCCCCTTCCTCTGAAGGAGCGCCTTGCAGCCTATTATGGAGTATAACAGCTTGTGCTGTAGGATGCAGGCCTGTAATTGGGGTAGGCCTCAATATTCTGCATTTATTTGATTAATTTGTAAGATTACCAGTCTCTCTTAGCTTTGCTAGAAGCAATGTTTACTTACTTGTCTTGCCCACCAGTATTCATGTCCCAGGACGAAAGTCTTTGGGGGGGTATCTTGTAGGAAGTGCATGCTGTAGTACTCTGTTAAATTCTTGTAGGCTAATTCTGTATCCCCTCACTTGAAGCTTTAAATCCCTAACCTCCAGATCTCTCATATTTAATCCTTCGTGAATTAGTGTTTGCCAAATGGAATTTCTACTTTGGCTAAGAGGAAATTGAAATACTGATCTTCACAGTTCTTTAAGGCTAAAGTATAATTCATTTTCTAAATTGTATTACAATAACCTGAATGTAGTAGAATGTAATGATTATGAGCTAAATTCTGCTACAAATTGCAATCAAGTATTTGATTTCATATATGTTGATTGTAGAGCCCATTGGCCTACTCATAGAATTCAGACTGTTAATAAGTAAAAATCTATGCTATAGAATTCACTTGGGGTGGCGAGTAGAGGACATGTTTTTTTTTCCTCATGCCATGACAATGCTCAGTGATCTCTTGTGTTTCTGTTTTACAGGTCTTTCACTGTGGGAGACAACGGGGAACCTCTGTACCCAGGGAAAATGTTACCCTTTACTGGGGGGAAGGGTAGGCCAGTGGGGGGGACTCAGTATGATCCCGACCCTACTGGGCGGGGTGGGAGGGAGGTGTTAGCCGACGCACTGTTCTGTGGACAGGGGGAATCGGAAACACTCGGAAACAACTCAATCAGAAATGAAGTAACCGAAGACATTTGGTCCAATTCTATAGCACATTTCTACTAACAGAAATAGCAAACCAAACCTCGGGGACACCTTTGAAAATTTTTTGTAGTGAATACTGGCTTTAAACTACAGGAGGAGTGCAGAGTAAGGCAGTTTAGCACAGTTAATGTCAAAGATGGGGTTTTGAAACAGTATTGGTTGAGCTTAAACCTAAAGACATAGGCATGGGGGACATTCTAGACAATTGCATGATGAAGAATATACTAAATGAAGTTAGAACTGTTTCTCAGCTATCCTTGTTCATGTGCGTCATCAGTGGGCTCCTGCTAACAAATAATAGTAGATGGTGAGAGAATAATTGCTAAGTTTAACGTATTAATGACCAACATCCTAGCAAAAAGCCTAAGCCTAAAAGATAAGTCAGTTCTCTCTCTACTTTTGCATATCATGGGCATATCTTCTTTTCAACTTCAAAAATACTAAATATTTTGGGATCTAAGACTAGTAGTACTGCCCTTTTTAAGATTTTATTTGGCCAGGATTGTCAACAAATGAAATGTACACTAATACACATTTGATTTTCATTGCAGTTGGAAGTCATTTTATGGCAAACGTAGCATGCTTGCATTGAGAGTGGGGATGGTATACATTAAGTAATTTGTTGCACCGGTTTTGTGTTTCATTTGAATGATGCATAGCCCTGTATTACAAATCTTCAGTTTTTATTTGCAGTAGAGCTTTTACTTTTCTGTTAAGGATAGGTTTAAGTCCAGTAGTTATGATAAGGCCTTGAAATATCTTTAGGATTCATTAGGATTAAGATTGATAATAGTAGTGTCTGTAACCTGCACATTGTGGGAAGCCAATATACTTGTGCAAACTTTGCTTCTGTGCTGTCAATGTGATGTGCTTTCTGCATGGACATTAACTAGTGAATTTACCAGATATTCTGAGACTATAAGAGCCATGTGGTTAGTGAAACTGTTAAAGGGCTGTGTTCAACATTTGGCATTAATGACAATTGTAAAAGATCATGACATTTGTTGTTCTTGGGTGTTAATCCCCACTCAAGTTTTTGTTCTTTTTTTTTTTTTGTTCAGAGCATGATCTTAAAGATGCTTATGATTCTTTTTTAATGGATATACCAAGCAGGGTACTCTGAAACTTGATCTGCGCATGTTGGTGGCCCTTTTGTACCCTAGCTAGGTGAAGGGGTACAACAGAGAGGATGAATGATGGATTATGATGATCTTTACCCATTTCATTTGTTTGGCTTTTTTTTTTCTCCAGTTATTTCCATTCAATAATAAACCCTTGCTTATTTAACCTTTCCCTTCCCCTTAATGTGTATTTTTTACATTGTTTCATACTGTGAATCTGGGACAAAATTGATTTGGTACTCTTGATTTTATTTTACTCTTCAAAGTGCAAGTCGTCTTGAACTCTTAGATTGCCTGACTGTATCCCATGATGAATATGGGGGGGGTGACTAGAAAAAAATCCCATTTGCTCTGCTGGACGGAGCTCGGCCTTCAGTACTTTTTGTTTCTCTTGAGGGGCGCGCACACACACGCGTGCGCACACACGCAATTCTAAAGCCATAGCATCTTTTTGCAGCTGAAAAATATCCATTGCTTATGTCAGATTCTCATGTTTGACAGATCTTTGCATGTTCTCATTTTGTGTGCAAGTGGTGAATGGTATGAATTATTGCACTGTGTTAGATTATGCATGTGAGAAGAATGTTTCTTGTGATTCATTTGGAACCTTTTTTTTATTAGCTTCTGACGCTTGAGCGCATGCTGGTCTTTACACATTCCTCGTTTGTGTCCACAACTGATGAAGCATTATGCCCTGACCTGTCAGTGGTGCATTTTTAAATACATGAAGGCAAAGCCTAACACTAACACCCGAAGAAGGCTCTACAGATGCAACATTTTTGTATTTCACCTTTTTTCATTTCATTGTGGAATTGACCTTGTTTTTCTGCCCACACGCGCACACAGCTCCTCACTCAAAAGCCTGACACTAATGCATAATGATGCTTCTTTCTTTGTTGTAAGCATGGCTGCCCTGTGTAGCTACTAATTTTGTAATCAAGCTCTTAAAACAGTTGCTATTGCTTTAACCCTTGTTTAATTTTTTCCGAAGCTGCTTCTTAAAGTTCCCCCAAAAGCGTGTGAGGAAAAGCTAATTTGGTTCTCAACTAGTAACTTGGGTGTTGATAACGTTTTTGCTTTTATACCTATTCAGACACCTTAGACACAAAGTCAGATCGTTGCATCATTATTGATGATCACTTGCCATCTTAAAAACCTGCTTTAGTTGTGCAGATGCCATTATTGGGGCAGGGTTTCAGCCTTCTTCTAGCAGTAATAGTGTCTGTTGCCCTTGCCCTGATCCTATTTGCTGATCATAGAAAAAAATCAGTATTTAAAGCAAAAATGAGAAAAGGGTCTCCTTAGCTAAAAAAATTCCTGAATTGCAAAACAACTAGCAATGATTGATTGACTCCTTGAGTTTTGTTTTGTCCCCATACGCCATATTTTTCATCTGCTCTGTATAATTAACTGCGAAATGAAAACAAAACAGATTGGGTTAAAAAAATAAGAAAACATCATGGGATATATGAAGCACATGTGTCTGTGTGGTTTTCACGTTTCTCTGTTGCGTGAATGTTTCTGAAGTCGTGATACCTTTGTCTTGTCACATTCCAGCTTTATTTGGCATGCTGAAAGCACGGCTTAATTCGTCTGCTCTGTACACACTGAATTAAATGCTGTTCGTGTGCTGTCTTACAGAAATGGCCGCTGCTAAGTGATAATGTAGTTTTCTACTTGAATATTTTTATGTTGTAGAAACCTCAGGAGGTCAGTTTACTGTTTTATATATGCCTTTTTTCCATTTGAGCTTCCCTTTTGAAGGATTCTAACAATGGACAAAAAGGAAACTCCTCTTCAACCCTACCATTATACAAATTTTCATAAGGGTGTACATTTGGCTAATATTGTAGTCACGTGGGGGGGGGGGTGACATTTGTGTTTTTAGAATCATGATAATGTTAAGACAAATGTGATAACGCTTTAAGGGTTGCAAATGATAACTATAAATGCCTAACAAGTTAGATTTAAATTGTCAAGAAGATGCATTGGAGCAGTCTGGTTTTTATTAAGTTGAATGAATCAGTAATCAGTTACTGCTATGTTGGTAACACTGTTAATGCTCTGTTAATCTATTATGCATTTCAAAAAGTACTTTATTGGAATTTGCCATTCCTCAATCTTAAAACGTTAACAATAATTCCTTGTGGGTTGTAATAACGTTATAATACACTCTTAAACTCTTAACTGGGTGTAGGACTTTCACACCCTGGAATGTGCGTAATAACCAGCTGAAAATTATTTTATGGCACATAATGAAAAACAGAATTGCAAGAGGTCTAAATTTAAAGCGATGGATTGATCAGCTACATTCAAACCAACACAACAGGGCTTTTGTGCTGTTTCTTCAATTACCGCACTCACTGTGCTTGCAAATTAATTCTTTGGAAAGAGTAATTTACTGGTCAGGGTGGTATATTAAATAAAGCACTTTGCATTGAATACTTCTAATAGCAGCTGGGGTCGAAGAAGAGTTTGCCTTTCATAGTGATGATGATAAAGCTTTAGGAAACTCGGCCAAGTTTCTGAATACCATAAATAGCATCAACTACTGTAATGTTAGAATGTTTCCTTCAAAAACATCCTCCAGCAAACCTCTCTTAGCTGTGTATACTTGACTAATATTTCTTGAAGTCTGCCTTCACACTTACGCTAACATGAGAGAACTTCATTTTGAATAGAAATATGGTTTTAATTTTTGATAAGCTGCTGAATTTTAAAGTTTTTTGGGGCCACCAAATATTTTGGATCATGCAAAGAATATATATTGTACTGTAGTAATTTTGTATTGACATTTGTATGATGTAGTAATAGATGTGAATGTTAATCACTGCTTGGATCTGTACATTGTTGAAAATAAATTGTTTACATAAACGTTTGGAACTGTCTGGTATTATTTGTCATTTGCCATTAAATAGAACCAAGAATGCTTCAGACGGCTACAATGGGTACACCATTGAAACCTGATTCTTGGTCCGCTTTCATGTCACACAGATAAACGTCACTACTGAGTCATGCATTTACATAGGTGACTTAATTTCCCTTTGCATTTAAAAACTCACTTCTGTTGGCCTAAACCCTTATCATACTAAATATACTTTTTTTTATTTTGTATAGTGTACCTTCTAATGTTAGGTCTGCTCTAGTGAGATCATTAAGAGGAAAACTTTGGGTTGCAAAAGACAATGTGGCAGTATTTGCCCTGCCACATCAACAGCAAGAAAAGGAATGTATAATGATATAAAACCAGGAGGTTTTCTTCACTACTTGCCAGTGAACATCCTGATCTTGTGACATGCTTTTCTTGGTTTATCTGAACAATGTTTTATTACCATAGTAAACTGAAACCTAGATTGACACTGGACATTGGAATTGGAAGGGTACAGTTGTGCATTTTATTTTCACAAGTTGTTATCCTGTAATATATTGATCTAAGATATTGAATGAGAATGATATGCAGTGGTCCTTGTTTAAAACTGAAACGGTCACAAAAGTTGATTACTTTTTCCATATATTTTAACAAAGCACAGCTCTGCAGTTCTCTCAAAACCTGTAAGCCAATACTCTTCTTTTTTTCATGGTAGCCACATTTTTTGGATACAGATTATATTGTATTAAATGGCACAATTTCCGTTTGTATTTAACACTTTTGTTAACATGGCAAGAAAGAACAGGACTAAATTGGTTGTTTTCTTGGGAACCCTACCACACTGGGCAAAACTGATCAACACAATGTGTGGGTGAGGACATGGTGTGCAAAAGAAGATTTTAGTTCTATGAACTCCTGGAAATCTTTCCATAGCAAAGAGATGGACTCTTGGCACCAAAAAACAACCAAAGAAATCCAGAACTAGAATAGAGAGAAAAAAACGTTAATTTGAAAGGGAAGTTCAATGGGGATTAAAGACCACAGGAGAAACAGAAGTTCTAAGTAAATGATCTGGTCATGAGTTTATACCTGAATGCTGGGAGTATCAGAAACGAATTTGAAGGTATATAAGCACTTAATTATGAATCACAGAAACATGGCTAACCGAAAGTGGAGAGGAATGTAAGAGGAGTAAATACACTCTGACCTGGAGAAAGGAAAGATAAGTGTGGGTGGTGTATCTAAAAAAGTATATTCAGACTTGGGAACTTCAGCTAGGGAAATCAAGAATCTCTGAATCAATAGTATGTGGATCAGACCAACTAAAAACAACAAAAGTAGCATTTTAGGAGTATGCTACAGGCTATCAATGTCCATTGTCTTTTCATACAATCAAGACATAGAAACAAGTGAAAGAACCATTAGGGAACTGTTAGATGGTGTTCTTTTAAGTCTATTTGAAAACTGGCCTGGTTGAGTCTAAAGCAAAAGTTAATCTTTCGTAAGCAGGTTTTGAAGGAATGAGGCTTTAAGAGAAGTAAAATATCAAAGGCTTGATATAGAATTAGTGGAAAATGGCAAAAACGCAAACAGATTCTTTCAAAAGCACAGAGCAAGTTAATTCCAAAAGTGAGTAAATATCTAAAAATACAGTATCCCAAATGATTCAATAAATTAGCAAAAATTGTAGAGAAAATAATGCTTTATAAAATTGTTAAAATTATCAGGATCCAGTTAATGAGAATACAATATACTGTGAGAACCTGTAAAAAGGATATTGTAAAAAAAAAGGATATTGATACTGTAAATAAATCCTTTCAGTAATACTGTACATAAAAAAAACTCGTTTCCTGTGGGGAAAAACTGTCTATTAAAGATCATCTCTGTACATATTATTAATGTGTTTGTAACAATTTCTAGTTTGCATGTGGTAAACACCTTCATGGCAAGGGCTTCAATAGCTAACAATACAATAACATAAACTGTATATTTTTACTAAATAGATCATTTTAACTTCTCTTTTCCGTTACTTTTAGAAAAAAAAACAATACCATATCCTAACTATGACACTAGATGGCACTAAACAAATGTGGAAATGATGCCTCAATCCCGATTTCAGAGATTTGCTTTATTTCACGACGAATTGGAAGTGGAATTAAGACTCTATATGGTACTATTACATAGCCCATTTTAAATTTTAATAATCGACGTACTGAAAAAGTAATAAATGATTCTTGTTCGAACTGTGTATTTGGTTTCTACCCGTCTTTTCTTACAAGCATCCGACCCTTTTAAGTAGGTATGCATTTAGCCCAGTTCTAGACGTACGAAATACTGAATATTATTGTATAGCTTTCTGGTTTTTGTTTTAACTGTCACCAATCTTGCGGAAAGTGTTTTTACTGAGCTTTGAGCTTTTTAGCACCCCACGTACCTTATCTCTGTTTACGACATTAATGTTTAGTTATCGCTGCTCTTTGTTTTTAAAGCGAAATTGCTGTTTGTATTCTGCATTCTTTAAACACATTTTACTGTCTTTAATTTACAAGCACACAACCTTGGGTTCAAATATAACCCACGTTGACTGACACATTCCTGGTACAGTAACGTTATTAACGTTATCAGATCTTATCAGAATTGGTCTGTTCATTGGGTTACTCCTGAACTGTATCACTTTGTTATTTTTACAACCAAAGTGTTAGTGCAGTCTGCAATATTAATTCTAAATGAATGATGTATCTGATATAAACTTTGATAATTCGTGTTTTGCCTTACCCAGGAGACCCCAAAGATGAAGTTCAGCAGATTTGGTGTAAATTAAGGGCAATGTAAGGGATCCTGTGGCTACTGCAATATAGTGTGATGTTAATTCGTTTGCAATGACAAATATTTTCACAGTTATTTGTTCTTTTTTAAAACAAAACAATTCTTAACTAGAATTATTTAGAAGAATTTGGAACGCAACAATCCACCTCAGGCTTGTGTGTGGTGAAAAGTACAAATAAGTCTATTGCTGTATGGTTTTTGACCCCAAATGAATAGGGCAACAGGGCTGAGGTTAGACAAATCAACACCACTCATTAAACCCTCTTTCACCTCACTTCTCTGAACTTCTCAGTACAGGTGAATAAATACATTATTATTTCATACAGTAAGTTTTCATACTTTTGTATTGGAAAGAGCTGCTATTGTGTAGATTAAGCACTAAATTTTCAATTATTTTGTTGAAACTCTGAAACTGTATCCCAAGACTTTGTGAGCAGCAGAGCTAGAAACAGCTCAAGCTGAAAACACTGTCCAAAGAATGATACTACTTTTATTTTATTTTCAGTGCATTAGGAAGTAGTTGCAAAACCTGCTCTCAAATGTCTCAGGTAAATATTGGGCTACAGTGTTGCCCAATTGCCATTTTCTATGATGGGAGGAGTTTCGCATGTTGTCAATATGCATAGACTCAGTATAAGCCCTCAAGCTGTAGGTGCCGTTCATGTACAGTATAGTGAATATTTACTCAATTGGACCAAATATTTCTTACAATATTTGTACATGCCATTTTCTGGGGAAAAACAACTGTGTATAAGTTTCACGGTATTCCTGTAAGTGGATATCTGAATATTTATCTAAAATGTGGGGTGGCACGGTGGCACAGCTGCCTCACAATGGTGGGATTGTGGGTTCAATTCCTAGGTGCTGTTTATGTGGAGTTTGTATGTTCTTCCCATGTTTGCATGGGTTTTTTCCAGTTGCTCCAATTTCCTCCCACAGTCCAAAGACATGCTGGTAGCTTAATTGGAGTGTGTCTTTGGTGTGCATGTTTGTGTCAATTAACTAGTGTGCCATCCAAGGTGTATATTGCATTATGCCCATTGCTTGCTTTGATATTGCTTGCTCCAGCTGCACTGCGATCCTGTATTGGATAAAGCAGTTAAGAAAATGGATAAGTGAAATTTAATATAAACGGAAACCTCTAAAATCAGAAATGGTAATCAGAACACATTCTATGGTATGATAAACTTTACTTCCAGGGAGACTGGGTTTTATGTGACACTTACTTTTGAACTTGATCCTATGCAGCTGTAAGTACAGAGCTGGTGTCTGTATTGTTGTGTGTGGAGATGGGATTTTGATGCATAAAGATTATATTGGGAGGCTGGATATACTTCTTTCACTGGACATAAAAAGGTTTATTCCCTTTTCGTATGGATAGATTCTTTTTCTTTTTCTTGTGTCTTTCTCTTCAGGCGAGATGGTCACACATTCGTAGAAAATTCCAAATTTTCCTTACTTTAAAACTGAACATGGCAACCATATTTTCCTGTTTTGTGTCAATATTTTGCACTGTCCAATTTGTTTAATAGAAATAAATGAAATGTGGAAAAATTGGACCTACTACATACTAGGCTGTGGTGTTCATCAACATGAAGAATCTCTCAATGAAGCCGACTTATTTTAGCTGAAGCAGATACTACTTTTTGAAAAACAAAATTCACTAATAGCTAAACTCTAGTGTTTTTGATAATATTTTGGTTTGTGTTTTTTTTATTAAGTTTCAGACATATGGGTGTCTGAACACAGCAGATATGTCCAAATATCTGTCAACAGCCTTGAGCAGGACCTCCCTTTGTTTAGTAGCTCAAGTTCAGAAAACACATGGGCATAGCAGATGCTTTTCCCCACAGTACACCCATAGATTCCCAAGCTCTTTTAGATCTAACTACTCCAAGCAGCAACAGAAATGTATTATAATTAGGGACTTACTTAATCTGATCAAGCCTCAACCTATTAGTGTCTCCTTTTGACATTTATGCTTTTATTTCATGTGATTTAATCAGAGTATTATACAACACATCTAACACAGGCACTGTCTTTTTCCATGTATGGCCCCAACTTCTTATAGGCCCCCCCAAAATGTAATGTTAATTTAATTAAAGGAATTTATTTTCCATTTTATACATTCTTAATAAAGTTGATTTGGAGCATGTTGGCATTTTTACTAATTCAGAAAGAGGACTTAATTAATTAAAACACATAATTAAAAACACAAATGTAGATTGCACTACTGATAGCTCACATTGTCACACTGTCTGGTGAATAAGGTGTCAACAGGAAATGAGAAACAAATTATTTAACGCATTTAGCTTCTTGGAAGACTTTTTAAATATATCAAAATGTATCTCATTGGCAGGAAGCTGAATGTTCAAAAAAATTACATTGGGTGGTAAAAATGACCTTGTGGATGAAGTCAGATTATCACCTGAGCTTGTAGAAAACTGTTTTTAAATAATATAATAATTTAATTAAATGCCATAATTTTAATATAAGGGGCAGCACATTGGAGTAGTGGTTTGCATTGCTGCCTCACAGATGGGGGACCTAGGTTCAGGTCTGGACCTGGTGTGCTATCTGTGTGGAGTTTGTATGTTCTCCTCGTGCTTGTGTGGGTTTCCTTAAGGTGCTCCGGTTTCCTCCCACGGTCCAAAAACATACTGATAGGTATGGCACCTACCGGTAGAAAACGTACTGGTTACTGGGAAAACTGGCCCAGGTGTGTGGACTTCTTTGTCTCTGTGTGCCCTGTGATAAACTGGCTTATTGTGCAGGGTGTAGCCTGTCTTGCACCTGTTGCTTGCTGGGTCTTTGGTTTTCCCAGCTGTCACTATAGCGCTATAAATATAGATACTATAGTGTTAGATGCAGTAATTCACTGATTGTACACGATTTGACTGGTGTAAAACCAATTTTGAGTTTCCCTCACTCCTTGAAATTCTAAATATCTTTTCATACAGGACTCCCTTGCTTTTTAAATAATTGAACAGTAGCTAAACAGCAGCAATTCCCCCTTGTAGCTGAATATCATCAGATCTCAGGAGCTCAATCTGACCAGGAAGGTGACATTAGCCCCCCTTCAAATCTTGACAATGTGGGATTCTTCTGTGGCAGGAGACTGTGTCTTGTTGCCTCCCTCTAGGGAGTGCTGCTAAACAGAGGTGCACCTACACTTGCTACATAAGCAAGGCTGGACATCGTCTGTACTGGGATGGGAGACCTATAAGGATATTCAGGTTGCTACTGTAAGGGGTTCTGATGGACCGCTAGGTGGTGCTATTGCTTCTACCCAGAGTGCCAGTAGAGTGACCAGCAGTTTTCAAAAAAACAAGGGTGTTACTGTGGCTAAATTCCAAGGTTGCTGGTGCATAATGGCAGCCATGTGTTACCCAGATAGATGCTTTACTTCAGTGGTGGATGAATTTGGTCTCCTTACATATGTAAAGCATGTTGAAATTCTTTGGGATGAACAGTGCTCATGATGTAAAGGCAGTATTTATGATTAATGATAAAATATTATATTGCAATGTTTTAATAAATGCAGTAATTGTTTCATAACTACAAAGGAATCTCAATGGGTCCTTCATAGGTAGGAAGTATGAAAGATTTGTTATAATTCATTTGATAAATATGAAAAAAATGTCACTGGTAATTATGCTAAAGATAGTTTCTCTCATCTATCTCCAGAATATTATACCTTTTTGATTACATTGGGAAAGTAACAAGAAATAAAAAACTGTTACTAGGGGCAGAATATTTGGAACAAGCTGTCCAGCCATGTTGCTGAAAACAGTTTCCAGGAATCCTTCAAGAAATGGCCAGAGGAGATTTTGTTCGATTCAAGTTACTAGAAACCGAATAAACCAATATGACTGAATAGCCTTCTTTCATTTGTAGGCAGCTTATACTCCACTTAAGACAGTGAATAGCATAATGGTGCGGGGTTGAGAACTGGATGCCCTGCGAGTGGGGACTGGCTGGAATGTGCAATCACTGCATCAGCCAGGAGGGGCGCTGTTTGTCGTCTCGCTCGGGGTGAGCCTAGGCAGGAGAAGGAGGTGGAGTCTGAAGGTGGGGAGGGAGAAAGAAAAAACAGGAGACAACAGAAACAGGGGGAGGACGACGGTCTGAGACGAAAATAATAAAAAAAAACAAGTAGACCTGTTACCGCAAAGAAAAAGAAAAACGAAGATGACAATGGCCTATTTCGTGGAGAATTTCTGGGTATGTCTCGCATTTTAAAATTTTTATAATGCCAAGTATACCCCCTCCCCTTTCTAATAGCTGCTTTGACAGTTTGGCTTACATATACTTTTGTTGTACGTCTAAATTTTGAGATATACTATTAACATGAATGGGAAGGGATCGAGTTGGAGCACCTGCCAGTTTAATGCAAAACCCAGTATCTCCTACTTTTTAAAGGCGAAGACGTTTACGCCACTCCGGGGAATCGGGCCTCTGAGGCTCCATCTAACTTGGATGCCTGAAAGCCCGCCCTCATCGGTCACTCATTGGCTATTAGTGGTTCTCTAGTAATGTTTATATTCGTGTCTCGGTACTCCATTGACCTGTTGCGATGTCACTCAAATTTCTAGGAACGCTAATTTCTTCCGTAATTAAGTTAGAACGAGAGAACAGATTTCTAAAGTTCTTGAGTTAGCAAGGGCGAATTTGTTACCCATTTGAGATGAGTAAAATTATAGTTAACTCATTGTATTTTCCTAGATTGCTGGTATTTCATGGTGCGTTGATTTTGTAAATCAAAAGACTTGAACTTAATAATCGGGTTTGAAGGCCAGCCTTGTCCAGACGTGGCTGTTGTCGTGTTTTTAGACAAACGAAGACATGAGAAATGAATAAACAGAACCCGAACCCATTTTTCAAAAAGTAAATTACGAAATCTAGATGAATGTCGGAGTTTACGTGGAGTACGTGTATCACTACTACTATACAAAATGTCATATTTCTAAAAAGAAGCAACTATAGTCTTCATGGATTTAATTTTTTCTTATTTGTTGTCGACTGGCTTCATGTTTAATTACCCAAGAAATATTAAACGGGGAGTACTGAAGTTTAAGATCTCTTTTTATTCCCCATTGAGTATGGAATGTTGCTAGACAAGGGAAGGCTTCAATTTTTAACGCGATTTAGTGTTGATAGTACAACGAGTTTGTGGATAAAACAATGTCTTTTGCTTTTATCGTGGCTGTTAAAATCGTACAAATTACAAGTCAGTCCTCTTTGAGAGTATCTTGTAGTTTTGGTGATAGTTGTAAAGAGGATGTCGCAAACCCTGGAAAGAGCTGAATTCAGATTTCAATGGAGGAGATCACTAGGAACTTTGTTGCATGTACTGTACAGTGCAGTATTACAACATTCTGAAAGGTATTGACACAGTGTGTCCATTAGATGGGCTAACTCAGGTTAAAAAAGCAGCTGAGCAATCGGAAGTGTGTTTCAGATTGAGAATAGAAAGCATTTCCAAAGGGCGCTGGTCTCTGGAATATTCTAACCCATGTTTCTGATACTGATTTCTTGGGATCATTCACTAAAGTTCTGTGAGCTCCCTAGATTCCTAATCTACCAAAATGGACTAAATGTCTTTCTCTAAAATGTTAGCTGTCATATACTATGTGGGTTGTAATAGCTAGAAGTACATTATTATAAAGTTAATTATTTTAAGGTGTGCTTTATTTAATTTAAGATTGTGTGACACAAACCACTATTGAAGTTATGTTGAGAAAAAATGAAGGTTTTAACATGATGCAAAATGTCTTGCAGTAAAGATGAACTTCTATCTGTGCAGTTGGAGACTGGAGGGAAATGAGTATGAAACACGAGCAGTTGTTTGTATTCCTTTACAGACGAGCCCAAGATGGTTTTGTGGTCAGTATGGTGGTGTCCAGTGTGCCAAGGAGTTGGAAACCAGTTTGTCAAGCGATTTGTGTCACTGTGTTTGTAGATCGCCTGGTAAATACCTCTGTCAAGATTAAGAACTGATGCTGTGCAGGTATCCTACCCAAATGGCTTTCCTGTATCTTTTTACCCAGTAGTCAACAGCTTGCAGCCATCTGTCCCAGTTTTGATTTGGTCATCTGTATAACTCTTGTTTTCGCTGAGGTTGCTTGGTTAATGGCTTTAAGTTGATGTGGTGGGATGGCCTGGTCTCAGCTACCCTGAACATTTCTGGAATACTCATGGAATACATAGGGCATCTTTACAGAAACACAACACAGCCATTGATTGGACCATTAACTGATATGATAAGAGTCCCACATTCTCAGCTCTTGGATTAATAGTATGCAGCTTGTGATGCAGCTTCACCACTGTGAGAGAGGAGGTTGTAGCAATCCTATTATTTTTCTGCAGTGGAGGAGGGGGCTCCTTTTATGTTTTAGCACAGGAGTGCAATAACCTTTAGGCATTAATATTGCAATTGTAGGGAATTGTCCTTCTGGAGTTTAGGGTTAAAACCACAAGGTTTGATTAGGTAGCTTTCATGAAAATGAGCCATTTCTTTGCCATTTTAGCGTGAACCGTCAAAGAAATGCACTGTAGTATGAGTGTTCTGTCTTTAGAAAAAGTGGTAAAGCATAACATTTTGCTGGCTTGTGTTTTTTGTGATGAATGGGAGAGTTCTAGATCTTCATTAAAACGTCCACGTAAGAAACATTGATAAGAGACCAGCATGATTTGTAGTTCTAGTGTTTCTGCCCTTCAGGAGAGTGGCACTCTTTGTTTTCAGGTGCAATAAAAGTGATTATAATTAAGACACATATCAATTATGTAGTTAACATAATACAGTGCAGTTTTCCAAGATGTCAGAAGGTGTAGCAGTGCCCCTTTACTTCAATATTCAAGATAGAGGGAACTGCAGAATTATTTCAGTTGAGTGCAGGATTAGAAAAATATCCATATAATTTTGAACTCCAGTAATTGTCATATTTTGTTATTGTACAGAGCATAGAGGGTTTTTCTGAGTCATTCTTGTGTTTTCCTGTTCTTGTTAACCTCAGTATGCTATTAATATTTGGTGTTTGTGGCTTTATCTTAAAAGCAGGCAGGATTTCCTTTTGTTTTCTTTTTTCTTTTTAGTGTTTTAGATAGCACACTCCATGAATGCTCGATTTACTATGAACATGCCAGATTTTTCTTTGATGGGCTTGTACAGAAACACTAGTTTATATGAATTTCCTAACATTATCTCTTGATTAGTTTTGATTACCAGAATACTCTAAATTTATTTTGTTTAAACTTGAGTTTCCAAGAAGTGGTTGGAGGCACGTGTGTGCATGTGGGTGAGTTTGGTGAAATCTGAAGGTATATTGTCATAAATTTGACTCGCCCACAACACTCACATGGGAAACCTTTACCCCTTTTCAGGATTTTTGTGAGTAATAGTTCTTTGCGAAAAAACAGTAATAGGTTTGTCAGTGCAAATAAATATAAAAAATAAATTTTTAGAGACTGAAAACAAATGGTGAAAAAGATAGACTGCAAATGTAAAATAATGGATAAAATACAAGAAAAAAGCTTTTGATGAAGGTTGGCTGAAATTGAAAAGATTTTTTGGCAGTTGACTGTCCTCTAACATATCAAACTCTGAAATATTTTACTTGCAGCTTGTTTACTGCATTATTTTCATTTAAAATAAGACATGGACATGGCTGTGTGGTAAAAGACTATGTAGCAGTAGATGGTTTTAAATGTATGGTGGTCTGATACAAGCTGGTCAAAAGGGTGTTTCTTTCTTTCACACTGTAGGCAGTTGGCGTCTTCCAGGAACATTAAAACGGGCCTGTACTGCAAAAAGCAGATAACATGGTCAGACTAAAAGAAAAGATCTTAGAGCACTATTTTGCATCTTCAGCTTCCAATTTTCAGTTGTCATTTGCTGACACAGTAGGGCTGAAGAGTCTTTATGTCCGATGCTGTTTAATTGTCAGTTTAAGTACTTTAAGAAAGCCACTTACTCTTTTCTGATGTAAACATGACAAGACCACAAGGAAAACAAGGCCAAATTAGTTCTGCCGCTAGTGAAAAAGTACATTTTCAGCACAGGCCGCATTGTAGTCATAGTTGTTATTGGTATGGTCAAAAACACATAGTGATCTTTACTTCAAAGCAGACGTTTGCAGCCTAATAGAAGATTAACCTTTAGTAATTTGAAGAGGTACTTTGAGGTCAGTTATATGGTACACAGACAATTTGTAACCCAGACCAGAAAGACGTCTGCTTCATGTGAACTGGTGATTTTTGCAAGCTTGAGGTTGAAAACAGGAAATGTTGTGAAAGGAACTTAAATGCTGCTATTTGAGAGCATAGTGAGAACACCTTAATAAAGGAGCAGTTTATCTGAACCCCATTATTCAAGTCAATTTAGGGTGACTGTGCAGAATATGCCACTTGTATCCCGCACTGGCTGCTAAATTTAACAGAACCATATGGTTCCCCTGCTTCATTGATATTTTCGTCCTCGGATATTTTTATCTGATCAACTAAGAGTGATAGAGTATGAGTGCGGTCTGTGTTTTCTCAAGCTGTATTTCATTGACCCTGCAGTGTGATCTGCTAAATTTATCCTTTAAACAACACAACACTGCACAGGTCTTTGTAAAGAAGGTAAAATGTGGCTTACACTTGAGTGTGTCATTTAAGGACATGGTAGACAGTCATCTCTTAAAAGATGCATGGAAGAGAGTGTTGCAATAGGTAACTTCTGGTGAAGCTGCTGTTCTTCAGTTTTATTGCTGACAGTGCCTTTGTCCCATTGTTCTCGTATTACTAATGCTGCTCTCTAATTTTTGTGTGACTTTTTTTGCTGTGACTGAAAAACTGCAAACGTTGATGAATGTTTTCAGAAACCCAAATGAATGAAAATGTTGCCAACACAAGGAATTTGAAACCATTACCATGTTTGTTTGGTTCATTTAATTATGTGCAGTGAGCCTTTTGAAACCTTTTAAAGAGTGTTTACTTTGTGCTGTTGGGATAATGCTTCGTAGAGTTCAGGAAAAAAGCAAAAAAAAAAAATTTAATACTGAAGAAGAAAGTTAGCTGTTTTTTTAAGAGGGAGTTCTTGATACAGAACAGAGAGAGATTTTTACGTAAAATTAATCAAAGCTATTCCATGATCTATAGTATGTGTATATATACAGTACCACTTACGTTGAAATATATGCTCACCAATAAATTGTTGACTGTCTCTATAGTGAACTATTGTG